TTTCACTTTCTGTCTTCCTGCATTACCACACAATCGCCACTGCTATACTACCACCACTATCTCTATCTTCTACCTACCTACCACCACCATCCGCCACCACTCTCTCTCCTTGCCTAATTTCCCTCCTTCCATTTCCTTTTTCCTCTCCCTTCTTCTCTCCCCTTTCCTTTCTCTCTCTCTCTATCCTTTTCTTTCTTGATGATCGGATTTGGTCACTAGAGAGAAGATTTGGCTGCAACTAAATCTCTGTTCGTAACCAGATCTTCTCCGTGTGATTAGATAAGGTCACTAGAAGGAAGGGAAATGAGAGGGAGGCATGGGAACAATGGAGCACAACAAGAAATTTGGCCTTTTGTGACAATAAAAAGTCATCACTAAAAATCAAAAAGTCGTCATTATATGAATATAGTGACGACTTTTTCCATTGTCACATGGTTGTCACTAATTCTATGTCACAAATAGGTACGTGTGACAACTCTTTTAAAGTCATCACTGAATCTTATTATTTAATGACGAGAACTAAGTCGTCACTAACGGTTGTCATTCTGTGACGAATTTTCTTGTCACTGTTTCACATATTTTTTTGTCATAAAAGGTAGCAAAAGCTATGTCACAAATAGGTACATGTGACAACTCTTTTAAAGTCATCACTGAATCTTATTATTTAATGACGAGAACTAAGTCGTCACTAACGGTTGTCATTCTGTGACGAATTTTCTTGTCACTGTTTCACATATTTTTTTGTCATAAAAGGTAGCAAAAGTCGTCACAAATTTGAACTCTACAGTGACGACTTGAACTTGTCACTATCATTCCTAGTATTCGGTGACAAGAATAATCGTCACTTAGTGAACTTACAACTTTGTTTGGAAGATCTGCAATTGTTCATTACAAATATAGCATTGTCACGGCATTTCCGACAATTATAGTAAAAAATTAAATTTGCATGATAGTGACAACTTTGAAGGTTATCACTGAGTTTGTCTTAAAGAGTTGAAATTGGCCATTACAAATATAGTATTGCCATGGCATTTTCAACAATTATAGTAGAACATTCAATTTGACAAAAGGCAAAATCAACAATAACATTTAATTTGACAAAAGGCAAAATCAACGTAGAATATATGCCGCAAATTCATATATTTGGCCGTAACACATCTATAAATTAATCAAAACAAAAGTGAACCACAAATGTTGGGTCCTAAATCCCACATAATCAATTCAAGTAGTAATGGCCAATACATATCCTTCCCAAAAGATAAGAGTACTAGATTTCTAAACTAAAACATAGACTATAGCACCAATGTCATATTTCAATCATCTCTAGCAGCATATCCAACAGTCTTCTCACGATCAATATGAAGCTAGACTGCATTGAAAATAAACTTTTCTTTAGAGTTTCAACATATCCAACTATTGTGAACTTAATAAGTAAAAAAATCAGTCAAAAAAAGAGTTTCAGCCAAAATAAAAGAATATGTGAATTTTAAGAAAGCAGCCACCCCAAGTTTATAAGACTCGTCCTTTCTATTATCAAGTTTCATCCAATTTTTGTCCATGTCCTAGAGTTACAAATCCAGAACATAAGTCACAAATTTTTATCTACACATTACAACCAGAAATAAGCATAGATAAGCTAGTTATGAAACAATAGATTTCTTGAGGTGAATCTATAAAGATATAAGTGCAATTCCTAATGTGCATAAGTAGGCAAGGGGTAAAATAGGAAAATCTCTACTTCTCTGTGTTTTTTCCAGATTATATATTAAACATACACTTTTGCTAGCTTAGACAATCATCCATGAATTTCATTTTGAAGGAACAAGGAATGGAACTGTTAAGTGGCAGCAACTGCAAATCTGTTAGTGTTGTTGCAGTTGCATCCTTTAAAAGAGAGACTAATAAGTCAAAAACAATCTATTAAAACATAGTTTAAAGAAGTTACCTGACAAGTAATGAAAAATTAGAAGAACAGAGGTAAAAACAGGCCTAATTGTCTCTTGAGTCCAGTGTAAAGCAGCTGCAAAAAAGGCAATGAAAAAGCTGAGAACCATTTTTCAATTGAGGCTCCAATGAAAAAGCTGATTAGTGAACAAATATACAGAAAATAGAACACCAAACATAATGCACCAAGTGTAACAACCCATTTAATGGGATTAGATATGTTACCATCAGGAACAAAATCAGTTGCACAGAAAGTTGAGAAAAAGAATAAACTACATGCATATAGATTCTAAGATTTAGTGAGGAAAATGGATTGAAAAACATGGTACTGACAGATTTTTAACTAGGAGTGGTAGGACTGAGTGAGGAAAAAATGGGTAAAGAGAAAATTTTTACTTGAGGTTTATATAGGTCAAGTTTATGTCATGATAAGTTCTGTCACAAAGATATTCGTGCCATCGTCTTCATTTTCTCCACCTTTATGTATACTTCAGTTTCATAATGACAGAAACTCATCGAATTAGTGAAATGTGGTAGTTGTTTAGATCAATAGAGTTCCATATTGTCCTTAATAGAATATTGAGTTTGAGCAAAACTCTTATCTGGATAAAAATTTCTCCCATTGCTGACCTTTTAGGCTTTAGCTAGTCTCTTTACAATTCCAGTTAAGTGCTGTTATGAAGACATGACAAGAAAAAAGAAGCAGAAAACAAGGAAATATACAAGTCTATTATTTAGTTTGAGAATCCTATTCAATTCTTGAATGGCATATCAAGTATGAACATGAAAGTATTAATTATACTTATAGATTGAGTAGAGCAGTAATAGCATTCATGGTTCTTAAAAAGGAAAAATAAAAAATGTGCTATGACTAACAAATTTAAGAATCTTGTCCATTTCCAAAATGTTATTTCATTTTCATAAGATTCTTTCTTCTTGATGAGACATTGTCGTATATACTGTGCTCAACTAAGCTTATGAGTGGGCCGTTAATCCATTTTGCTTTTACAATATAAATTATAAGAAAAAGAAAAAGAAAAAGAAAGAGGAGAGAGAATGAAACAGATGTCAAAACAAAAACTCCATTACATTTTTTGGTTTCGAAGTTAAATTGTATCCCATAATAGTGGAAAGGCAGCTGGAGCCAACCTAGTGCTATCACCAAGTAGCCAAAAGTACCTCTAACAAGTGTAGTTGCATGAGTTTTATCAGCTTCAATGGACCTTGAAGTTCCAAAATCTGACACTTTGGCTATGTGCTTCCCATCCAAATGTATATTGTTGGACTCGATGTCTCTATGATAGATGGGAATTGCGGCTGCCAAGTGTAAATATGCCAATGCTCCTGCTACTTCACTTGCTATTCTTAGTCTGAAGTTCCAAGTGAAGGAGAATGAATCATCTATCTAATTATGAATGAGGTTGGAGAGGGTGCCATTAGGGATAAATTCATAGACCAATAGAGGAACTTCTGTCTCTAAGCAATAACCCAGTAGTTTAACTATATTCTTGTGGTTGACTTGTTAAAGAACAATAACCTCATTAATGATTCAGTACCATAAAGCTTCTGTCAGTACCATGTTTTTACTTTATCTTTGGCATTAAATGCTTTTATCTAAATTAGTAGAACAATATATGGACTCTTTACAGGTTAAGTGCAATCCTATATAAAGCACATCAAAACCAACTAGAGAACTCTGTTTGCTTGGCAGAATAGTCAGCAGTAGTTGTTGACAAGAAATTCTAAAACTGAAAAAGAAGCTCCATTCATTCACAAGCAGGCCGTCATCATAGCTAAACAGATTTTCTCTCTTTGGCAGAGTGGACGAGAAGAAGATACAACACTAGGACAATCTCTATTCAAAATAAGTAAATCTTGAAAGAGTTGCAAAAATTTCTAAACTTAAGCGGGGCTGTGATTTAAAACTTGGCCCTTCGCTGTGTCTATCCTGCATATAACTAACTTAATGCAAGTGTTCTACAAGTTACCTTTGCTGTGTTGAAAACAACATTTTTGCAGTCTGCAAGAATGCTCACAGACCAAGCAGGAAGGAAATATGAATTCCTCTTGAATGTGACGTTGGCATCTACTTTCCTATCATAGTTAGCAAGAAAGGCTACACAATCGTTTGAAGTTTCATAGTACACATGTGCCTGATCAAACAAATTCATTCTGTTTTTTGGATAAATTCACTATTTTGGATAAATATACTGCATCCTTTGCCTATTTCCGAAGACATAAACTGTAATGATCATCAGAAACGTCTATTGCATACGTCCTCTTATGAAAAACTCTTTCTCTTATCACTACCCACTATTATAGTGGGGGCAATGGGGAAGAAGTCCTTGAATTAAATCAGTCGGTTCAAATGTTCAACAGAAAAATTGGCCTCAATCTACTGTTGTCCAACTCATTATAGGAATAGAAATATCGAGTCAAGAAACGGGTTCTTCATTTTCCTTTTAAACAGGAACCAACCAATATCAAATCTAAAATTACAGAATAAAAACTCTTCAGAAAATCCCTTCATTACACAATCAACAGATATTTACAGCACCCAACACTAAACTCAAATCCAAGCACAGACTGTGATAAGCCTACACATAATGGGCAGAAGACACATTAACAAACAGCCATTAGACAGAAATGTTCGAAAATAGATGGAAAATATTGAGATCATTTACCTCAAATTATGCCGTGACAACCTTAGGTCTTGTTTTCCTTCTGATTCAGTTTTCAAATTCTGGCTTTTCCCTAAAATTCATGGTACTGGCTCAATTTAGGGATATTTGCTATCTACTACTCTACTAAAGTTGCCCTATCAGCTTGGGTAGCTCTTTTTTTTTTTTTTAACAAAGATGATGGGAAAGTTTATTGAGAATGGTATGTGCCTCATTGCTAAATTACAGAACCAAGAGTACCAACAACTACCATTGGACAAAAATGAAATACCATATCTCAATGGAAATATTCATAAACAAGAGTTTGCAGTTTTGAGTAACATTAGGCCAAAATTACCTCTTGTTAGGAATCTCCATTGCTTGAAACTGAATTCAGCTGCACAGGGCAAACAATAACTTGTGCAGCATTTCAACCTAAATCATCTAAAATTGGAAAACTTTTATAACTTCTTCACTATGACCAGACACTCGTTCAAAAACCTCTCAAGCTCTGATGTATATACACTGGGAAAAGTCCGATAATGGTCAACATGAGGTGATGCACCAAAGTTGAATGCCCACACATTTTTCCCACTTCTCTTCTGTTCTTCAACAAATGACTCAACTGATGAGAATGGAATGACCTTATTAGCTGTACTATACAGATAAAGATGTGGGCAAGAAGGCCGGTTTTTTGAAAGGACAGAGATTATCTTTGTCAACTGCTGTTTGACGTCGTTCAAGTTTAGGAGATAAGAGAAGAGCTTCTCAAATGCTGACAAAAGTAAGGTTTTAACGGACAGGGGCTCCTTTTCTCGCAACTTTGAGGTATCAACTCCACTTTCCAATTGATTTCTTCCTACAGCTACAACTGATGGATAAGATGATGAATTGTATTTCTTTAGCAGGGCTGCAGTAAATCCAGCAGCCCAGACCTTGGGATCTATATTAGCGTCACCTCCTGAATCAACAATAATTCCCTTGATTTTCTCCAATAAATCTGGCCTACTTTGCAAATTCTCAAGAATGGAACCATACCTCCTCAGATGCTTCGGATTCGACCCAAGCCATCCCAACAAAACTGCAGCAAAGATTGGCCCTTTATCCCCGATGACCCCATTTTCTCTAGGGTGAATTCCATCAAGAGCGTAATTCCAATGGAAAGATTTAGCTTTTTGGTCAGAGAAAATGCGGAAGAAGATTGAGGTGGAGAAGAATGAGTTGAGGAGAAACAGTGAAGAATTGAGGGAATGGGAAAAGCCAAATGGGGTTGTTGAGGGGTGGTGGGGAATGTGGGCGTTTGAGATAATAATGGAGTGGTGATTTTGGGGGTTAATAAACGAAACTGCAGGAGTTGGAATTGGGCGATGATGATGATGATGATAGTAAGGAGGAGGAGAAGGAAGCAATGTTGAAAAGGGCTTTAGAGGAAGCGGCTTTTGGAGAGGGAAAAGGGAGTTGGGAAGATGGTGTCCGAAGGCAAAGAAAGAGGGAAATGAGTTTTGTCTGAAATTTGGCCAAGTGTTGAGTGTTTTTCTTCCAAATCAACTTTAAATGACGTCGTTTCTGCTTCTTTTAGAACCCCGCCTCTACTCTTTCAATTTTCAGCTTCCCGTTTCCACTATTGCACACTAAAAAATACGCGTTGTCTCTAAATTGTTGAACCTTTTTTTAATAAAAGTAACGCCTTCTATCTCTTTTTCTTTTCCCAATCTTTGTGTAATTAACATTGTTTATTATGTTGAGCTTTTTCATTTCACAAGTTATATTAAAACTTTGGAATATGAAAATTTAGTATTTTTTGATTTTTTTCTTTTTTTTCTAACATAGGTTTTTTAGGATCTCTACAAAAAATAATGTTCAAAAACTAAAAGGCTTATTAAAAATATATTTATGATTAAAAAAAAGACCTTTTAATGTAAATATTTTTGGTATCAATTTAATAATTTTATCAATTATGCACGAATTGTGGTTTGACAAGACCAAACAATCTGTTTAGTTGATCAAATAACCAAAATGGTTTACTAATACATGCATGAAACACTAAATCTATTTGATACAAGTACTGATTCATACACCATAAAAAATTTGAATATTGTAAATTGTAATACATAACAAACGCCAGTCATGCAATTGTCAAGATTTTTACTTAATTTCATATTAAATTTTATTATTCTTTGCCATTATTTTCACACTATGTTAATCAGTAATTTTCCATATGTTGTCAAGAGAACTAAATAATGAATTCATGATATTTTTTAACTTTATAACAAGGTATTAGCTAAATTTGGAATAATTAAAAAATAGGTATACATTTTTTTTACAATACCTTCCTTATTTTGCCAATGATAAACACAAACTAAAGTGTAAAGCATAGGGTGCCATAATAGAATTAATAAAATTGGTTTATCACGTACGAGGCTAAATTGCAAAAGATAAGGTGTCATGGTAGAGTTAATGAGATTAGTTTACCACATACGGGGCTAAAATATAAAAGTTCGGTTGTCATAACATAATTAATTAAATTATTTACAGCATATGGGCCATCTAGAAAAAATTAGGGTGGCATATGGGGCTAAAATGTAATAGTTAGGGTGTCATATAGTAGAATTAATAAAATTTATTTACAACATATGGGCCATATTGAAAAAATTAAAGTGGTATGTGGGGTTAAAATGTAAAAATTAGGGTGTCATAGTAGAATTAATAAAATTTATTTACAACATATATGCCATATTGAAAAAATTAGGGTGACATAGTAGATTAGTGAAAGTAAATTGGGAATAAACACTTTGGACAGTGACGACTAGTTGTTGTCACTAATTTAGAACTGACAACTATATTGTGACGATATTTTAAGTTATCACTGTAGGACCAATTTCAATGACAACCTATTTTCCAGTCGTCACAATGGTGATCTCCCGCCACACTGGCTAGTTGCGCGCCATCCATATTGTGACGACTTATCCCATGTTGTCACTGTTGTCGGGTGAACCCACGATCAACTATGACGACATTAAAACTCGTCACTAAAGTTTTCAATTGTGACAAGTTTCTCTGTTGTCACAGAGAATGTTGTCACAAAAGGCCAAATTTCTTGTAGTGGAGAGAAGAGGAGAGAGGACGAGGGAGGGAAAGGGAAAAAGGAGGAGGGAAAGGGAAGTGGAGAGAGAGAGAGAGAGATATGAGAAGACGGTGGTGGTGGGTAATGGTGGCAGCTGGTGGAGGAGGGGGGAGGAAAAAAGAAGATGGGGGATGAATACTTTCTAAAAATTTTATAAGTATCTCAAAAATTTTAAAATTTGTAAAAGCATCCAAGATAGTTTAGGCAAAGGAATTCAAGCACCAAATATAAAAAGAAAAAAATTAAATAATAATAATAATAATAATAATACATCACTTGTAGGTCACATATAGGTTACAAGTGAAATTCCATATTGTTTAAAGTTTAAGAGGATTATATGGACATTTCAAAATCATAAGGTGTCCGATTGATTTTTGGCGAAACCACGAGGAGGTTTTCTGTATTTTACCTTTTGTATTACCGGTTTATTTGGGATTTTATAATAAGTTGACACACATCCCACCATTTTTTATAATTATTGAATAGTTACCAATTCCTTTGAATATGAATTTATCTAAATTTAAACTTTATTAATAAATTTCCATACTTTTGATGACCATATTCTATTTTTTTTCAAAATTCTTTTGATATTTTTGAATTGACATTAAATTTGAAAAGCATGAGTGTACTTAATAAGTTCAACATTAGTTGGACAAGTATTCAAACATGTGACAACTGGAAAGAACAAGAATCCATTCATTTAGTTTATGCTTGTAAAGAGCTAATTGTGATTTCATAATGCACAAATAATGCACGTGCAAATCCTACTACTTATTTTTTGAAACTTAAGGTATTGTTATGTAGAGAGTTACTTCAACATTTTTGTACTTGTTAACGAGTAAACCTGATATCTTTAGGATGCAACCATTCTAAACATGTCTTGATGTTTTAGAAAGACACATAATTTGAAGTATATAATTTGTTGGCATAGACTAATGTAGAACTTACCATTGAAAAGAGAAATTTTAGTGGCATAATTGGATCCTTAAACAATCTAATAAAGGCATGGCATACCATTTTGCAACCGTATATCATTACAAATTGAGGAGCTAGTACACTATCCCACTGGAAACAAATCTCAAACACTAAATAGCCTCAATCGGACAACTATATGTTTACCAAATGTAAGGGAAATAATTGAAATAAGTGGAATTTCCTACACTTATCCCAAAAATTTACCACAGGATTAATATTTGTACATGAAGAGGTAGTTATCCAAGGGTTTAATCCTCATGGTTGTGGAAAATAAATGAATAAATAAATATATATATATATATTGAAAACAACTTTCCAGACTCCAGCTCTTAAAAAGCTCCCAACTACCCATCTCTTTTTCATAGAATTTGATTTATTTTAATTAGATAAAATTACTTAATATTTGACTATATACTTATGATATTGAAGCTATCAATTATTAGCATTTCCTAAAGTTGACTAATTCATGTTAAATTTACATATGACCTCAAATTGAAATCTTAGCAAACTTATATATGACTATAATTCAGAAAGATATAAATGACCATAACTAAAAAGTCTAGAAAAGCAAATTAGTAATCTCAAGATAATTCAAATAATTAAGAATGTACAAAAGTAATGGGCATTCTTAAGATTAAAGAAAATATCATGAATAGGAAACTAAAAGCATTTACAAACAGAACTTTCCAAGATTTTATCGAAACTTGCCAGAAAGTAGATGTATGACGAATTAGTTTTGTGCGTGTCTAGAGTATAAAAGTGTAGTAGATTGAAAAGCAACCTCTTACAGACATAAGTGATGTGAGAAATACAATGTAGTCAAGGTGAATGTTTTAGTATGTCCATATCTTACCTTATAGCTAGTTCTACGTACCCATTGTTCGGTGGAAGATAAAGCAGAGGGATCAATCTCTAATCTTGGACTCAGATCTAAAGCGTTGAGTACCATAACAACTCCATTTCTCATGGTAGCAAATACCACCTAGTTGCGACATGAATTAAAATGTTTCCATTTGAAATCCTTAAACAGAAGTCTCTAATGGTCCACTACAAGTATTTGAGAAATGATCGTCTAAAGAAGTCAAATACAATATATCTCCTCTCCAAGTGTTTGTGGAGGATGAAGTGGTAAAAAAACTGCACTGCTGATGGGTTCCAGGCTTTTTTGATTCATACATTGCAAGCCAATCTTGCAACCATATGCTATTAACTAAACAATAAATCACGAAACCTATCTTAACCAATGGAAATGGCTTGGTTTAGTGTTTTGCTAACAATAGTTATTACTACAAATTGGTGCTGATGAAATTTGACTCTTTCTTATGTATGACAAAGCAAACTATGATGTAGTCAGTTTTTTTTTCCTTACATATGACATTTTATACCTCTTCATTACTGGTTCAATTATCAATCTTAGACCAAATACTCAACAAAACCTACATTTAGTTCCTATTAAACAAGAAAATTCCTAATAAATCTTACAAGAAGTCTAGGACGAGAACATATTTGTTTTGTTGAATTACTCTTTTAACAATTTTTAGATAGTAGTACTAAGTGAAGAAATCAAATTGTGTATACATGGAATGATTTGCCCATAGATAATTAGATAACATTAGCTGCTCAAGACCACAAATTCCTATTAGCATGTGAGTGTGACATATTTGATTTAGAACAAATTAACTTGAGCATCTACTGTAGTAGAGACCAATACTTTTGACGCGTTAGAAAAGGCTAAGCAACTAATCCTTTTCAAATGAGAGTAAGCTTATTTACAAGCTGTTAAATGTATGGAAAATAATTAAAAGCTTTACATGTGCAAAATTAGTGCTATAACTCAGACTCTCACATGTTGTAGATGAGTATAGTTGAATCGTCTGTGCCAATAGCAACTAGGTTGTTATCTTGTGGGGCTAGAATGCCATACATGTAGCTGCAGGTGGAGCCAATAGGAAGCTTCTCACTTTCTGCAATTGCAGTTGACAAATCAAACTGGTCATGTAAAATGGTAATCTAGTAATAGACATAGCAATTTAGTTTTTTCAAGTGTTCAAGAATTTGGAAACTTTGAGTTGCCCTTCAGTAATAGCTATTAGATTGATAGGATATCTGTGGAAGTCAGAATAAGCATTTGTTTACATTACTGAAGTGTTTTGGTTTATATTTTCTGCATGCATTTTGCTTTTTTCTCTACCTTTAGCACTAGTTAATAAGCGATGAAATTTTCACAAATAAGTTCCCACGAGTTCTTATGTTAGTATGATTCAGTTTGATTAAATTTCAATATACCTTTTGACCTAAGAATTGCGATCACCTCCTAAAGATGTTAATCACATACTTACCTCAAAGGTTATTGTGTTGAACAAAGAAACTATTTCTTCCTGATGCTAATATGAGATAAGAGTCATTCCTGGATAAAGCAAAGCATGGTGAAGCTATTTGAAATGGATCATCACTAAGGTTGTTGGTTATAATTATTCCACTTTTTGGATGCCATACACAAGGGAGATGATTTCTTATTGCCTAACAATTTTGTTTTTTTCCATTTGACAAATTAGAAAAAATAATTAGAGTCTAACAGAAAATCAACACACAAGAAAATAGTGATGCACATATACAATTGGGAAAAGATAAATGTACAAATGAAAATAGAATCGATTAACTTTTCTATCTAGCCATAATTGTTATACCCGCTTCCTAACCACTTCCAATTGTTTTTTGATGCAATTATTTAATAGGAATGATGAGGAGATGACCTCTCTATTTCAGATCAAAAATCCATTCCAAGAATGTTTTACTTCAGCACAGATGTCCCACAATTCTGTCACATGGATGAGGAGTTGAATTTTGTAGCAACAGACTGCCAATTACATTATTTGCCAAGATTTTGGCCTTACTATCATCAGAAAAACAACCAAAAGAGTGTCTTCCTTGTTGAAGCAAACATAAGGCTTTGCATTAAAATAGAGAAAGAAGCCAACAAGTAAATGAAACACCATTTTTATAGTCGTAGACTATAAATGTATAATCCTTATATGCAAGTAAAAGCATATCTATACTATACATAAAAGTGCATTAAGTGTTTCTTACTTTTTTATGTACCTATTTTTCCCTTAATGGAAACACTATTCTCCTATCTAATTAGCTTACTCTAAGATACATTACCTGATAGTTAACATTGCCTGACAGTTTAAGTGTGGATGTATACAAGAATATAATGCTTCATTTAAAGTTTGATTTTAAGTTAGAAAATGCAAGCTTCATGCTAGATCAAAAGCTGAGAAACATGCTACTAACTGAAAAAAAAAAACATGTTTTAACATATCTTATATTGCATGATTATGAAATCGAGATAAAGAGTAGAGGGATAGCCATATGCTAAGTTCTTCACAAAATTAATACATTTTCCTTCTTTTACTGATATTCACATCTATCATTTGTTCAAATCCAATTACAACAATCAAAATTTACAACTAATTTAGTGATTTATTTCTCCAATCAATAATTACGTGCGACGCACGTGCATTTTAATTTCTAATTATTCTAAAAATGTGTAAAGCCCAAATTGAAAGGCCCCCATTAGCATCAAGAGAGAGTTAAAATCTTGACATTGCCTACGTTCCAAAACTTGAGTAAATATTCATCCCCAATGACCAAAAAGTTGTTTCTACTTGTATTGAATTGCACTATGCCTGTAGAAGATTTGGAGAGCCAATCATAACTTCAGGTTATATAGCCTTGGGTATAGTTCCATTCAACTAAGTATGAGTCTCCATCTTTGTTTGTGCCACAAGAAAAGAGCCTAACAAGTTTTTAATGCTCACTTAGTGAACAGGGAATAAAAAAAAAAAAAAGAATGACCAAGTACAGTTCTATAATTAAGCACTTGTCTTTTACCATCATCACCATAGGCCATTCTTATGCGAAAATAACTATTGCATCAAAGACAACCCTTGGTTCTATATAATCAAATAACCATGTTTTTGTCTCTCTATTTGTCGATGTGGCATATTCAAACTGCAAGCATTAATCAAAAAAATAAAACAAGAAGAAAAGAAGAAGAAGAAGTAAACCGAATGAAGTACCAAAAATAAAAAGAAAGTCTCGAAAGGAATTTGTCGGACGTCCGAAAGGATAAAGAGCATCAAGAAGGAAGCTCTGTCGGACGCTCGTGAGGAAGCATCGGACGTCCGGAAGGATCGGACGCTTGCCATCGGACGCTCATCAACCGCATCGGACGTCCGAAAAATTCCAAGCTAACTTGCCAACTCTCTGCCTACGATCGGACGCTGCGGTGTCGGACGATCAAGACGCATCGGACGTCCGAACGTTAACTTGGATGCCATCGACGATTGGTTCGGACGATGATTTGATCGTCGGACGTCCGACAGCCCCAACGGCTAGTTGACTCTTCAGCTGCCTTCTATCCGTTGGAAGCATTGATGAAGCCCATTTCTGGTTCCCTTTAAAATCAAACTGGTCTGAACGAAGTAAAAGACTTTTGCACACTTTGTTTACAAGATCTAGTGAGATATTTTAGCTAGAAAATAGTCTCCAAAGCAGATTTGTTTTAAAGTGGTGTGAATTTCTGTTGAGCATTTCTTTTGTGGTTGAAAGGATCTTTAGTGTAGCTTTGTTGAGGGTTTTCTGAGTGATTGTAAAACTTCCTAGCTTGACTAAGTGAGGCTTAGGGCAAGGAGGAAGTGCTCCCTCCATTGTACATCTAGTTGATCTTCGTTCATCAAAGAGAAGTTGCTCTTCCTTGTGTTTGGTCTTCAAGTTTGGGTAAAGCTTGGTAGACACTTGGTTTGTTTCTCTATTTTACATTTCTGTTTAATAAAATCTTCATTGCTTATCTATACTTGCTTCTCCGATCAATATTGCTATTGTCTTCTAATCTACTTGGTTGATCATTACTAAAAAGGAAGGTAAATTTTCATTAACGAAAAAGTGCATAAACTTGGTTAAGATTTTAATCAAACCAATTCACCCCCCCCTCTTGGTTGTCTGTGGGACTAACAAAGTCTTTAATGGTAACAAGTATAGAAACTACACAAGGATATCTTCCTTGAGATGTGCACATAACGAGTTTAAAGGGCCTCTATGACCTTCAAATGTGTATTGCTTGTACCAGTCACTGTACCCCATACCTAACATATAATATAGAGATAATTAGTCTATTTTCTCTAATGAGTAAAACTACTAGAATTTAATTTTTTTATTGTTTAGACCTGAATGAGTTTGTTCTCTCCATATGTTATTACAAGAATTTGATCATATGGTGAAGTGAATGCAAGGTTATATACACCTCCCAAGTAAGCATCAATCTTTAGAGTTAAAGCTAGTATGGAAGCTAACATGCTTTAGAATTTAGTAAGAAAAAAGACAATAGAAATAGCTCCAATTGTTTCTTGATGTAATTACTGATAGCATGATAACAATACAACTGGACAATGTTTTTGAAATATGCAACACCTATTACACTGGATATAAGGAATTATATTTTTAACAAAATGAATACTTAGAAGATAGATATCACATAGGAAGTTTGTTTCCTACATACTTACCAGAGAATGAACCATATGGCCTCCATAAAACATGATATACTGATATTTGTTGATTTTGATCATAATCAAACTGTATTTGAAAGGTATTATTTAACATGAGAGTACCAAACTATATTGAAAGGGTATTATTTAGCATAAAAGTATTATTTACCAGATAATGAACCATATGTCCTCCATAGCCTTCAAAGTCACAACTTAAAAATGTCAGCTGATGATCACTAAAATATCAAAACGCATAGAATAAATATATGTATACATATGGGATCAAAAGTGTGACGCCCCCACTTCTCCCTAAGGCGAACCAAAGGGTATCCGCGGGACGCCTGCCTAGCTCTCGCCAGGACTCAAACAATTCCATTCAACTTATAGCCGGACCACACAACACAAGCCAATAACTTAGATACAATAAATGCGGAAGTATTCAAACTTAATAATAGTCATCCATTCTCCAAACCACACGTCAGAATACAGATTACATTTCGTCCAAAGGGTCACATCACGGGGTATCTATCAGCTTGCCACCGCGCAGGCATCCCTACGGAGAGTTTCGCTTCGTGACTCTTCACGAACGAGAGGCTCGGGGCTTTTCCAGACGAAGGACTTAAGGTCCCAACTGTCAGCATATGGCTCTGATACCAACTGTGATAGTTCTCAGGGTCACATTTCCATACCAAAGTACAATTCCAAAACCAAAGGCATAACCAAAAGTAATAACAAGCCCTAAACAAAAGTACATCAAGAGGGCTTCTCCATTTTACCTCCGAGTTCAAACCTGTTAAGGAAAACAAATCTACAGGGTGAGCAAAACGCTCGTGAGGCCAAGAACGCACATGCAGACACATAGTTCAGATAACAAGCCCAAATACAATTCAGGTAATAGCTTGCAAGTAATTAATAATGCCGATAAAATGTAACTAGAAACAATTCAAGGATATGGAAGCTCTCAGGAGCTAAGTTCCACATTTGCCGATGTCATTTGTATTATCTCCCCGTGATGACTCTCCGTCAACCGGGTTGATATTTTCATATCCGTAGTTCACCACTTACTTCTCATCCGTCCACCATACACCACTTCGGGCCCGCACGACATTTAGAAGGCTATACTCCACGAGTATGCCAAGCAAGATCTCTCAAATAGATCAAGCTTATCATGTAATTCTCATGGCTCACCAAGGTTCCCGACCAAGCCCATGCCGGCCTATGAGTTTGGGCGTCCCCCATGTATCATGTAAGTGTCGAGGAGATTCACTCCAACGACGTATGCAATCATAGCATACCATGTCATGTATTCAAGCATTTGACAGGTTTAAGCAGGCATTTCAAGTCATGTAACCAGGCAAATCATGTTAAGCATGAGTCATTCGTTTCAAATGAGAACGAGTGCGATCAAGTACACACTCGACTCCATTTTTGTCAAAATCGGATAGGCTACGCATGTAATCAGGTAAGTCAAGCATGAATCAAGTCCTTAGAGTTCAAGTAATCATACACTTGACACTCACCAAGTTATGCAAGCAAGTAAGTTGGAGGGAGAGTTCAAACTTCCACGGTAGGGTCCTCTTGGAGGTCCTCGTGCGTGCCTGAACATCGAGTATTAGATAATTACTATAGGTCCCCAAGTGGTGAGAAAGATTGAACACGAGTAAGGTTCGAAAATATTTGAAACTTCATTTGACTTGCCTTTGAAGTTGGATTCTCAAAAGGTGTAGGACTCAAGTAAAAGAATATCGGATTATTATCCTTAAAATCATTGGTTGAAAACGAGTACGAGCGAAAAGATTGCAAAACGAACGATCGAAATCGGAGAAGGGTTGGCCACGTCACAATCCGGCCGGAACCTGGCCGGATATCCGGCCGGATTTCTGGCCGGATTGGAGGCAGTGGCTAACCTCCTTTTTTTCAAACTTCACCACTAATCCGGCCGACAATCCGGCCAGTTTTTGGCCGGATTCAAGGCCGGATTCTGTGGAATAGTTCCTTCGCGGATTTCCTTTGGAATTTCAGAATTTTCGATTTTTGGTCAAATGTTTGAAAAATCATAATTTCTTTTCTACAAATCGAAACTTGATAAATTTGGTACCGTTGGAATCGTCTTCCAAAGTACTAAAAGTCCTTAGAAGACATTGTTCCATGAATCTAAGTGGAAGGTATTCAAAAATGAGCCTAAAGTTGCTATTCTAGATTACCAGGATTGAGCCGGGGTTGGTTTTTCACTAACTTTGGAAATTCGGCAAAAATCACTCGTTGCAAACCGGCCCTTGAAACTTATAACTCAATTAGAAGTGCAAGTAAAGTTTTGGACAGAGCAAGCGTCTCAAGAATCGGAGTTTCGAGCACCAAGATATGGTAGCTCAAAGTTGGGAAAGATTCAAGATGGTTACAAAATTTCCAGATTTGGTTCCGACTTTGGACCTTTTATTAAGTGTCGAAACGGACTTGGATTGACACCAAATTTTGCAGTATAATACTCCCATATGAAGGGTATCTCTCTATCAAATTTTATGGAAAAATACCCTCGGAAAGGTGGTTAATCAATCAACCAAAGTTTGGAAAAATCCTTAAGGCAATCTGTCCAAATCTAAGGTTTCAAAAACGAGGCAGTCGTCGTATTTTGATCATAACTCCCTCAATTTAACTCGGAATTGGGAATGGTTGATAGTGTTAGAAAATACATTCACAGTGCTAAAATTTCACAGAAGAAATCATTTCAAGTTTCAGCATGCAACTGGTTCGAAATTAAGCCTAAAGTTGCAGCATCATCAAATCATTTCGGCAGAACGGAGAAACAGGACAGCCGACTTCAGATGAATGGTGTGGCTCACACACATGAAACCAAAATTTGCATTATACACCGTTGGAAACATGGGAACGTCTAGTTTCAAATGCCACTAACGGTACTCGATTTTGACGTCGGAGAGTACGGAGTTATGGACGAAACACGAACACTGGTCTGGTTACGACGGCAACCATTTCCCAGATTACTAGCTTTGGAAAATAAATTCTTTTGATCAACCAAAACTCAATATTTTTCAACGAAATTTTGTACACAACTTCTACAACATGTAAAAAACATAATCAAGCCATTAAATCCTCAAATTTCTGCATTAAAGTGACCGAACAGAGCAGGGGTAAAATGGGAACTTTTTGTTTCAAGAGTTCAATAACGTTTCTGGTAACAAAGCACCTTTAATCTACTTCCTTAAGCTCTAATTCAGCAACAAAACCATCATCAAACATCATCACAGCCATCAACCCAAAGTGGGAGTTCATAGAGCCCACGTTTAACAATTTTCCAACATCCACAACAACCCATAAGAGATCAAGAGCTAAAAGATATGCTAGACTTCCAAAAATCAAAGTTAGAAGGCTAGATTAAGACTTACTCTTGGTTGATGTTTAAGGCAGAGATTCGGTTCTTCCTTGCTCCTAAGTGAGCCGTGCAAATCCTCCCCTTTTTAGCTAGATGTGAACTCCAAGGCTTAGGCTAAGTGGTGCTAAATTTTGAGAAGATTTGGTGGTGATTTGCATGAGCTTTGAAAGAGGAAATGTTGAAGGTTTCGGTTGTTCTTTGTTGCAGTCTAGCCGTCCATGAAGCTTTTCAGAAATGAAATGAGATTGCTGGTTCCTTTGCGTACATAAGACGCTTGACGTCTAATATATTAAATACGTCAAATCAATTACAACTAGTGCCCTACGCGCGCGTTTTGTGCTCGATTTCTCTTACGTTTGTTGCACTAGTGCACTAAACCTCTAGGACACTTACATTCATATAAATTTTATTCATTCTTAATTGTCCCAAAATAATTGTCCAAAATCCCTCAATTAAACGCGCACGTGAAAACACGTATTTCCAATTTAGGCGTAATAAAATGAAACCTTCGAGAAATTCTTATAACGATCGTACCACTAGCTACCACTTGTGTGCTTAAACCTAAAATTGTCTATTTTAGGACCATTGTATATGTCTCAAATTTTTGAACTTATTTTATTCCCAATTGGCTAAAGTGTTTAGACACGTTTTCACTTTTTCACTAAACAAGCTTCTAAGAAAATAATTTTTTGAAACGAGATACTTTAAAAATATAACGAAGCTATAAAACCATGTACTTAGGTCTAATAAGGATAGAAAATAATATTCGGGGCAAAAATCCAAATAGATAATTAATTGAGCCAAAATTAGGGGTTTTAAAAATAATAATTTTACGAGTCCTCACATGAATTGAGTATTAATTCCTCCATTAACCTTTTTTTTAATCTATTATTGATCGTTCTTAATTCTCCAATATTAATACACTCCCGATTCAAGTATAGCCTAGAAAAACGTGCACCCGTCGTTCCGGACTAAACAAATTTTCGAAAAGTGAATTTTTCAACAAAACGCTTTAAAAATATAAAAAGGCGTCATTCCATATAAATGGATTTAAACTGGTCGAAATAAATAATTCGAAGAAAATGAGTGAATAATCATTTAAATATTCCAGTAATATTCTATAAAAATAAGAAAATTTTCGGGTCCTCACAAAAAGATGCCTAGTTATTTTTAATTGCAGGATTGATGGTACTAGATGAAATTTGAGAATCAAATATCATTAATGGGGAAAACTATTGAGTTGCCAACAAGTAAAAAATTTTGATGTTAAAGCCACTAGAAAAGACTAAAATGTGGGAAGAAAAGGATTAGTTAGAAAATGAAACTTAGAGGCAAAGATATATCCAGGCTGAAATAGCTAAATACTAATGCGATTTGCTCTTTTAATTTGATTGACTAGTATGCTTGTAATAAAAAAAAGGGTATTGATTTGAGGCAAGAACTCAGAACATCCAAATTGATCATGGTGCCAATTCAAACTATAGGTTAAGATAACTTTGAATTAAAAATATTAAGTAAAATAGAATTTTCCATGAAATATTAACCAATGTCAAATTAAGAAAAATGACAAATGTTAAACCTATCATTGGGAAACTTCCAAATTGAAAAGAAGTTATCCTTGTTATTTCAGTATTGCCCTAATAGTAGTTATCCTTAAATATTAACTTTTCTCTTTATATAAAGGTCTGTGTAATCCTTTTACCTCTCAGTTTTGACCACTATTGTTGTTTTAAATTTATGCATTTGCTTCTTGTAGTCTTTGTATTCAACAACAGTTCTGGAAGCATTTTGTAAAACCAAACACTGC